TCGGCTGCCTGAGACGAAAAAGTTGATTATTCAGCACGGTGGGCCACATGACCCACATCGGCTCATCGAAAATTCTTTTCGTCTCAGGCAACCCTTTCAACCTCTTACCATTCTCAATACCTTTGACCCCCTCCTTTTCTTCTCTTTTTCTGATAATAAGTACTTATAAATCGCTTATTTCAATCATTTCGCATATCTAACTGCTTAGGAACCGATTTGCCCATCCTCCCTCCGGGGCGCCGGAATGGCTGCAATTTCCAATAATGTGAGTAAACTGCTTCCCAACTGCTTGTAAAGCACTTATTCTCATATTTTGCATAGAAGTGGTACCAGTGGTACCTCAGACAGGTGCCACTCGGACTTCTTGAACTGCCCGCATATGAAATGGTAAGTATCATTTTAATCTCATTTTCACTTTACTTGCGGGTGATTCGATCATATTGAGATCACCTACTATATAACTACTTCCTAAGCGGTTATAGAGTAGTTAGATAGATAATAGGTAAACTACTTACTGACTACTTCTTAACTGCTTAGGACAACAAGGGACATCCGGTCATCCATTACGGTGAATTGTTCTGTCGCGTCCAAGATTGCAGCAAAGGACAGGTAAGCAGAACTAAATATTTTTATTCAACTACTTACTAACCGCTTGATAACTGCTTAGAGGAAGTTTACTGCGACCAACAACCTCCGTACACATTTGAAAAGCCATAACGGCATTACCTTGGATAACGAGGACAAGGGAGGGCGCGTGTCTCAGAAAGTGCAGGACGACGCGATCAGTAAGAGAAATAATAAAATAGGAGCTTTATTACTGCTTACTAGCTGGTTGCTAACTGCTTAGGATGGTATCGCCGCCTCTTCGCGGGTGTTGAGTCAGAAGTGCAGGGTCCTGCCAGCAGTGCCGTCTCCCCCGCCGGCCCCGCCGGCCCCGCGAACGCTTCCTTGCCTGCATTGCCGTTGAAGCAGAAAGATAATACTGTAAGTGCTTCAAAACTACTTTTTGAGCGCTTGCTAACTGCTTAGGTTCATACAACCAATATGCGCCAGTTAGTTCGGAATATGGGTCACAAGGTCCCATGTAATTCCTGTCCTGCTCTAAAGGATTGCTGCAAGGACATCAATCGCTGCGATCATTTTTTGCTTTTTGATTGCGGCAATTTGGCCCCTGCTACTGCTGCGGCGGCGAGTCAGAATAATGAGGGTGAGGAAGAAGCATAAAGTGCTGGAGAAGCAGTTGCGAAGTGGTTTATAACTAGTTTAATGGCCGGGTTTGCTTTTCTTTTTGAAAATATGGGTGGTAGATCTTTATGGTGGGCCTTTGTATTTTTGTTGATAGAATGATACCCCGATAGTACTTATGAAGTACTTTTCAAGTGCTTAACAGGTGCTTAGAAAATCCCTCTTACAGAAAAAACCTGGTGGAATTCTAAGTAATCAGTAAATATATATATATGTATTATATGAACTTAACCGCTTACGAAGTGCTTATAAAACGATAGTGTAAAATATAATAGAAGTACTTAATAAGCGCCTAGAAACTGCTTCTATTCTTCTTGGAGTTCCCGCCGTTTCTCTATAAGCTCTAATTCTAATTTCT